CTCTATACTGGGAGTACCATAGGCATTATCTGGCTGTCGTGACAGTAAGATTTCCTGGAGCTTTAATCCCCATTCTATAATGCTACATTGCAAACCGTCTCTTCTCTTCTTCCCTCCCTTTTGCATCCCAATTCCTTGCCCACCCCTCCAGAACTGCGGATTGGTAGTGGCCATCCCCTGATTAATTCATTCAAAGGGAGTAGAAAGGGATGGCCCATGTAATGGGGAAGGGGGGGAAAGAGTTGTAGGGTGTTTTTTTTTATATAATGAAAACAAACCTAAGCATCTGCGTCCATTCGAGGCACTTCTCAGTGCTTCTTCATGCAGGCTTTTCAGCGTTTACCTCTCACTGCCTGTGAGAGTAGCTTGGGGGAGGCGGAGCTTATGGGTCTGGAAGGGGAGGGGTGTCAGCTAAATTCCTCTCCGATTTACGAAGCAGGAATGGAGTGGGGACAGAAAACAGCTACACAATCCTTTCGCCTGTCGACTTCCACCGAGCTTATGCAAGCAGTTCCCCCCCTCCCCCCGCCTAAATAAACTTGCATGGTGCATTTGTGGTGTTATTTATGACAGATCCTGGCTGGTCAATCTGGCTCCCATCTATAAGTACTGTAGTGCACTGAGTTTTAATAACAAATTAAAAGGAAAGCATTTACTCCCCCCCATTACCTGAAAAGGGGGCAACTTATCACATTTGTGGAAATGCAAGTTTTCAAAGGGCGAATGCCTTTCTTACTTGGTTTATTAACTGCTTCCTTTCCTTCTTCCCTAAACATTCTGGCTGTCTCCAATTTCATTCTTGGTAGTGTTGCTTTAAAAAACTGCTGAGAAGTCCTTTTGCAGGCAGGGCAATTTTCATCAAGGTGTGTGTGCGATTGACAAGGCAGAGCCTTTGACAAACAGGCAGGTTTTCTGCTCACTCAGCTTGGAGAGGCTGTGGAGGATTCGCAGGGTGGAAGACTGAGAGGAGGAGATCCCTGTGTGCAGCCTGCTTGCTCCAAGCCAAAGCTTGCTACTGGGGGGGGGGGGCAATGGAAGGGACCCGGGGAGTCACACGCATGCCTACACGTGCACGCACACACCCTGAGCTACTCATTTGGACTTACAGGTGGCAATGAGAACTCAGAAACTGTGCTCCCTTTCCCCCTCCCTCATGGAAGAGGGGTAGTCTTATACGGCGAGTATAGCCCAAAGTCTATATTTTAACTGGAAAAGTTGGGGGTCGTCTTATACGCCCAGTCATCTTATACGCCGGAATATACGGTATGTTATGCAAATATCCAAAACCTGTCCAAGTGGACTAGAGTCCACAGAGGTATCTAAAGTAAACCACAATGTTGGCAAAATGAGGATGCACCCATGGTGAAGTAATCAAACAAATGTCAACTTCCTAACATTTGACACAAGGACATAAATCACAGCATTTATGTGATGTTACATCTGTTGTCAACCTGAGTTGTCTACATGCCTTCCCTGGTTTTCGGTCTCAAATAAAAAGTTAAGAAATTCAGACCAGTTGAAAAGGCAATAGTGTCCATCACAGAACATGCAGAAGACATTTCCAAAACTTTGATTGGCTGCCATCCGCAAGTCATGCTTATTGCTTGCTGTCTGGCAATGGGAAATGGCAATTCATGTTCTGGAACTTTGCTGATACTCTCCCAGCATGCATTTCACACAAAAACTAGTAAGACTGGAGGAAGTGCGTCAAGCTCCACCCAAAAGATTGTTCCTTTCCATTTACCGTAATTGTTTTATTTCATAGCCAGTAGTAAAATAGGTCTGGGTGCGTTCATATATTGTGCAATCAGTGCCCACAAGTTTAACATCTGTTTCATCCTAATTCTTGAAAGCAATACTGCCATATATAGGTGGCTTAAGAAGTTATTCTTTACCAGATCAGACGAGTTGTCCATTTAGCCTGAGTTGTCAATATTTTTTGGAAATTTCCAAGCCAAAGTCTGTTTTCAAATGGATACTCAGTTTTTAATTAGAGATGCCAAAAACGAACCTAGGAGCTACCTGTGAAGAATTGTTTCTGCCAATGGGAGCAAGTACACTATTCTGAATAGCATCCAGTTCTAATTTGGAGAAATAAATTGAGTCCATAACTTATTAAAAAATAGACCATATTAAAATCAGCGCAACTGGAGTTAAAATCCACTCTAAAGATACTTTAAGGTCCAAACGATGACCTTCAATATCTTTACAAACAGTTTTAGGTAGTATCTGTTGGGATCCTTCCGTTCCATAAAACTGTTGTCCCAGGAAAGGCTGGGTTGGTGCCTGGCATGCTCAACCTGATTAATAAGCAAACCAGGGGTTGAGATATTAAAAATAAGTTATGTTTCTTCCTAGTAAAACTAAGACTGGCAATGCTTCTCAATGGCACCACGATCAAGTCCGTGGGAAGCATTTGTAGGCATCAGGAAGCAATAAACTAAACATTTGCAGTCCCTCAAAGTGGAATTCATGTATTCTGATGTCATGAATCTAATCTCTCAATTCAGTTGGGTGGATGATTTGCAAGTATTGTGGTTGTTACCAAGCAAGCTCCCATAAAATATTAAAATTGCTAAAGAATCTCTTAATATAGCTAAAAAGTACAGGTACAAAATGGCTCTTACAAAATTCCTCAACACTGGGTCATCAAAACCAACAAGGTTTCAACTTCCTTTTAACAGGAAGTTTAACTACAGCATTAAGATTAAAAATGACTGTTTAAACACACTGACAGAGAATTCTGTGAATCTGTAAACATCCAAGTCTGGAAAGCTGATCTAGTGGCTAAGTCAGATGCAAACTTTTGAGAAAAGCCACCATGTCCTAAGTGTTTGTGGCAGCCAAAGACCACGCATAGGAAAAGCGCAGGATCTTGGGACTGAAGGCCCTGACCTTCCTAGAAACAAGCAATTCGGACTCCACCGTGGGAGTCCCTTTCGGTATTTAAAACCCGAATCTCCAGCGACATCAAGTATGGAAGGCACTTTCTAACAAACCGCAAACATCTCCCTTCTCAGGCCTCAATTCTTGCTCGCTGAAGCCGTGAACAACCTTCTGGTTTCATCCACCAAACCAACAGCTGCAGCGATGCCCGCTGACCCCGAGTTTTTTCTGCGCAAACTCCACTCTTAAATCCAGGCGCCGGGAGTCTCTGCGAGGGTGCGACAGGTTGAAGACGCGGAGCGGTGGCGCACTTGGCGGCAGGCTGTCCCCGACCGCGAGGCTCCTCTCATCGGAGAGCTCCGCGTTGTCTTTAGCACGGTTAAGTGACGCCGAGGGCAGAGCAAGCGCGGGATGGCAACTCTTTGGGTGGCCCAGTCCATTGGGATGCAGGCGGCGGCGGCGGCAGCAGCAGCAGGCTCAAGAATCCTTGGAGCGACGAATCTTCTCCGGCTTAGCGGCGAAATTTCACTTTAATCCTGCTTCTCTCGCCACAGAAACGTTTCCCCTCCATCCTCTCTGTTCTTAACTCTGTTCTCTCGCTGCAGCGGCTTTAAAGCAACCAACCAACCCGCCCACCGCCTCCTATAGGGAATCGTTAAGGATTTTCCCTGGTCCGATTTCAAGCAATCACACAAAAAAACACAAGCAAATCTTCTCCGCGCCCGCCTTCCGCAAACCGCTCCAAAATCCGTGGCTCGGAAGGCGGTTGCTAGGCAAAAGAAAGAGGGCGTCATCCCGGGGGAATACGAGGAGCCCTCGTAGCCCGAGGCTCTCAGAAATGAGTCCGTTTTGTCTGAAATCGGGGAAGCGAAGGTGTGCCTGCTCTGGAAATCAGGCTCTACTGTGCGGGCACCTCCGCCATTAAGCGACGAAGGTTTTCCCGCTCCCTCCCCCCTTCCCTCCCGCCAATCTCTTCATGCTGTCCGTGATTAAAGGATTCTTCTTCCCTTCTCGCCCCTCAGCCGAAAGGAGGGTGGGAAGAGGAAGAGATGAAACCCCCACCCCGTTATGCTCCCTCCCTCGCGCGGCGCTGCTTTCCAAAGTTTTTGCGATTTGAAAAAGCGAGCGAGTAAAGGCGTTTGAACACATGTGCCCACCAGAGTTTTTTTTTTTGCCGGCTCCAAGCTCGAGCATTATTAAAGGCCGCCAGCATTAAAGGAGCTGCCATCCTGCCACCGATCCCAATACGTACAATACCTGGTATCAATACATACAGATCCCAAAGTCAGCGCAAAAAAATTGCGCCCCTGCTGACCTTTTGCTGCCTCCCAATTCTGTTCGAAAAGCGGCTACCTTCTGCCTTGTCCCGCTGCCTCATCGCTCGTTTCACCAATGCATGTAACTGCGTTGACCTCAAACTTTTACTGACACGTCCCTTTCTCTGCCATATCATGTTTTTTCTCCATCAGGACTTGATGCGGGTAGGGATTCTATTCAGCTCCGCATTCAAGTGACGGGACCGAGGACCGCTACCATTTGTGGGGCCTTGGCGGGCCAATCCTGCCCTATCTGTACTCCGCAGTACCTTGAGTCACGGCCCCTCCAGTTCGGGCGGGGACCCCCTGAAAACTGCTCACCGGCTCCGTGCTGCTGCAGCCGACCACGTGAGGGCGTCCAGTGTGTTAGTTACAACAAATTAACCCGGGGCTAGTGCTCCCCCCGAGCTTCGTCAGTGCCCCCCGACTGGACACAGACATGCGGGCCCCACTTTCCTATCTGAGCCATGTGCTCCCTGAGAGCTGGGGCTCTCTCTAGGAGGTACAGAGCCCACGACATAGGGCGCCCCTATCCTCTGTCTTTCCCGAGTATAGGGTGCGCCTTTAAAATCGCCTCTGAAGAGCCTTTCCCCTGTCCGGAAAACTGTGACACCCAGGCAGGTGGATCAGTCACCGTCGGGAGTAGCAGATGCCAACAGCATCTCGTCTCTACGGCACCGGACGCGTGCACGAGAGCTCGGCGAAGGGGCCACAAAAAGCACAATTCAGAGCTTGCCTTTTCGCTCCCTGTTGTTGTTCTCAACATGGTCCGCTCCTGGCGCATATAAAACGCCGTGGCGAAGCCCGCCCAGGCAGATTGCTTTTCTCAGGCGACGCTGAGGGTAGCTGTGCTCGGTCGTTGTGGTTGTTTCTGGTCTCCCCCGACCCAGCGCCCCGCGACCGAGAGCATCTCCGCAGAAAACGAGGTCTGAGGATCAGCCGAGCCCTCGTCCCCAACACTTGGCCTGAAAGCCGGCGCGGTTTTCTAGGATGTCTGTTGAACTGGAAGAAGCTGACTTGCCGCTGACCGAGGCAGAAGAGGCGCCTCTGGCTCCAGAAAAGAAAGGGGCGGCCAAGAAAGCCAAAGGTGGTGTGTCAGTGCTTTCCCCATCCAAGAAGAAGAAAAACAACAAGAAAAAGAACCAGCCCGGCAAGTACAGCCAGCTAGTGGTGGAATCCATCCGCAAACTGGGCGAGCGTAATGGCTCCTCGCTGGCCAAAATCTACAACGAAGCCAAGAAAGTGGCTTGGTTCGACCAGCAAAACGGGCGGACCTATCTCAAATACTCCATCAAGGCTCTGGTGCAAAACGACACTTTGCTCCAAGTGAAAGGCACCGGCGCCAACGGCTCCTTCAAGCTCAACAGGAAAAAGCTGGAGGGGGGAAGCGAAGGAGGCGCCGGAGGCGGTGGCGGCTCCCACGCCAAATCCCACAAGAAGGCGGTCGTGGCATCCACTTCGCGGAAGGTCGAGAAGAAGCCCGTCGCCAAGAGCAAAAAGCTGGAGAAGAAATCTCACAAGAAAGGCGCGGGCGGCGGGACCGCCAAGAAAGACAAGGTGAAAGCGAAGAAAGCCCCCAAGAAAAGCGTCGCTTCCCCCAGCGCCAAAAAGGTGAAAAAATCGGCGAAGCCCAAGGCTCTCAAGAGCAGGAAATAAGACTGCCCTCAAACTTGGAGGGAAGAAGCCGCTTCTTGTTGTCTTTCGACCCCAGACTTTTGAGCCCCAAAACGACACTGACTTTAGCTCAAAGCACAGAGCCATGTTTCCAGCTTTGATTTTTTTGTCTTTTTGGCCCAGTTTCTGCATCATTTCTTCCCTCGGAAGGCGGGTGCGGGTGCGTGTAAAAGAGCACTTCGCTTTCTCCACCGATCCCCGTCGAGATCATTGGGACATTTTGGATCGTGGAAAGATTATGCCTTCACCTCCCACCCTTTTCTTTTTATTGGAGTATTGTTGCCGCTGAAGCTTGATTTTCTGCTTTCGTGTTCTGCAAAAGTAGCGTGATATCGTTATAAATACTCCCCCACCCACATCTGGGCGAGGTTCGGCCCCTCGTCATCAGCCTCCGGTTACTGCAGGGGGAAGGGATCGTTCTTGATGGGTTCCTAAACTTTGAACTACCAGCAGCCTCGGTCGCTCCCTCTTTAAAAGCGGGGATGTCATGGCAACAGCCTGTTGGATGCACAGGCGTCCGCACAGTTCCTGGCCAGGAGTGCTGGCGGCGCTGTATGCGGGGTGGAGTAGGGTGGGGGCGGTCGCATGGGACCAAGTGACCAGCAGAGTAGCTGATTTTACCTCGGAGACTTGCGCAATCACTGCAGATTTGAAATACGTATCTAGCCGAATCGGGGGGAGGGGGGAAATGCAGTTCACTTTTGCCTGCAAGATTTTGTATCGTCCTTTTCAGGTCTCGTCTTCAAATGCCTTTTTAAAAAATTTCCTCGTGTTTTTGTTCAATAAACCGTTTAAAACATTTTTCTCACGTTCTGGTTTCCTCCGTGTTTTCATATTCAAGATGGAAATGAGACAGTCGGTTTTATTTTTTTGGAAGATGGGATACGGGGGCGTTGGAATCGCGCGCGAGATGCCGAAATCACGGAGGAACTGGGGTCTCGAGGGGCTCGGTGCAGATTTTTGGCGCCCTCTCCCCATCAATGCAACTGGCTGGGTGGGCGTGGCTGTTTGCTCCCCTTCTGCCTCATCTAAGCTATTGGCGAAGATGCGGCCCCCTTTCCGGTCTCTTTCCCCCTAGGGGTTTTCTTCTCTACAGATCGTACATTCTGGGGTATCCTTGTATGGGACGCAGCAGAGCCGCCTAGGCCCGATATAAAAATAAAGGTAAAGCAACCCTCTGGGCAACTCCAGGAAGACTAACCTCTTCTCACGCCCACCCTGAAGCGAACACGCCCGGACATTTTATAAAGCCCCGCCCCCCAGTGGCGAGTTCTATTCCTAGCCTTCGAGATAGTCATCTAGCGCTCTTGCGCATGTGCAAGCGGGGATGCCGATTGGTGGTGGAGAAGAGCGATTACCAAGCGGAAGTAACGTCGTTGGACGGAAGGCTTCGGATTCGTAGATCCTGGGCGGGAGGGGGAAGAGTCGAGGCTTCTAGCTGTGGAAATTTGCTCTCCCGTTTTTCTCGCGGCGCTCTTTGATCCCTCGTTGCTGAAGATGCCCTTGTGTTCGCTTACTGCAGGCGTTCGTATTTGGGAAAGGCTTCAGGGCAGGGGTTGCTACAACTTTTTGCCATCCCACCTCCTCTTTGGTGTCATCTTAATGTACGCAACTCCCTTAAAAGACCCAAACACCAAAATGAACAGCAATGAACAATGAAAACAATACAACGAAACTGAGAAAGGCGGATTTATTGTGACAATGTAACCGAAAGGTTCTTCGTACCCAAAGGAGGTACGACTCAGAGAAACAGAGGAACGTTTTTAGAACCAGCACAATGCAACCATTGCTGGTCGTAACTACTCGCCCCTCCAATCCCTCTGATCACCTTTTAGTGCCATTTCTTGTGCATGTGTAGGAAAGGAACTTGTAGCAAAATTAACTCTTCCCCATCTCTCCCACATCTAAAGCCCCTTTTTAATTCAGTATAAACCACAGAAACTAGGCTGGATGCAAAAACTAAAATGCTAGGGTAAGATGTCTTTCACATCTACCAAATACTACTAAAGGACATGTATTATATTCCTTGTAACTCAGTATCTCCTAAACCAGTGGTTCTCAACCTTTTTAATGCCGCGACCCCCAACCGGTTGTAAGTCGAGGACTACCCAACCGGTCGTAATTTGAGGACTACCCAACCGGTTGTAAGTCGAGGACTTTCCCTGCCCGGGAGCGCCGCACATGCATGGTGCTGCCCCCTGCGCCAGCCAAGGCATATCTGGCAAGCGGCTAGGCCACCAGCTGGCCCAGCCCAAGGGAGGTAAGGCACCCGCCGGGCCCCACACATGCCAGCAACCCTCCCTGCGCCCGCCGGCGTCCCACCCCTGGCCTTACATTTTTAGTAGTTGCTCAGCAGGGAGGGGTGGAAACTTCCAGACAGCTTGCCTTCGCTGCAGACAATTTGCAGCACCATTTGCAGAATGGGACTTTTGGCGGGCTCAGCAGGGCAGAGACAGCCTGGACAATTCCTATTGGCTTTTGAAAGCAATAGAATTAGACTCTATTCAAGAGAGTCTATTCTATTGGCTTTCAAAAGCCAATAGAATAAAAGGGAGTAGCACAGCTAAGAAAAAGAGGGGAAAATGGCGGACTGCATTGTTTGGCGACCCCCATGAAATGGTCGTTCGACCCCAAATGGGGTCCCGACCCACAGGTTGAGAACCACTGTCCTAAACCATTTGATGAATCAACTCTACTCAGGGGAATCTGGATAAATAAAATTCAAAACATGTAATTGGTAAAAAACAGACTGCACTTTTATAATTCCAAGGATATTTGAAAAGTGGGCTAGGTCTTAGATAATTTTGGATGTGCTAGCCAAGACCCAGGATACTACATACTGTCTTTGGGCAAAGCAACAATTCCCCAGATTCTGCCTTCATTCTGTAAAACTGGGGAGAAATGCTCAGTGAGAAGCAAGAAAACACAAAGGATCAAGCAAACAATAAGGAGCCTATAAACATCTACATAGGTCTTTTCAATTATCCTTGCTGCAATGACCTGTTTAATGACTTGTTTAATCTTTGGGGGAAGGGTTGGCATGGAATTGTACTATTTCCATTTCACAATAAGCTACTTATTTCATTTATGGCTACATTCATATTATACATTAAAACCTTCCCTGTCTGCAAAATTGCATCATTACATAGCTAACACTTAGAGTTCAGGATTGGCACAAAGGTTATTAAGACCTGTTGTTTCTGAGGTCTGAGAAGAAAGATCGAAAGCACAATACCCATGGTACGTGTTATAAGTGTTATAATTTACGGTGGTGAGGGGGTGGGGTGGGTGTAATGGCAGCAGAGTCAGAAAATAGTTACCTAAGAAGGAGTTGCCTGTTGCTCCCTAGAGTTTATCTTTAGCACTCAACTTCTCACCATCCATTCTGTTTACCATAGAATTTAAGTCTTACTCTCATTCAACTGGCAGGGGAAAGCATTTTCTACCCTACTTAAGAGCAATAGGCTACCTTAGATGGGCACACAATATCACATATGATTAACCACCACTCTGCTCCCATCATCTGCACTCAATGCTGCTCTATTATTTTACCAGAAGGAAGAACCATTTTGGAGTCTACAAAGTACTCATCCTAACAACAAACAACGACTATAACTGGAGGGTCATAATGGTAGTAGAAAAAAGATCAACAGTGACCCATCAGTAGACATGGCTTATGTAGGCATGGAAGCTGCTACAATCTTATTTTGATAATGGTAAGTTGTAAAAATAAGAGTAAGCTTTTATATCTAAACTGTAGAAGGGCATTATAACTGATTATAAAGGTTGTGAAAAACATTGATTTACAATACAAATTATTAATATAGCTTGTTTTGAGGGCATAATATTGACAATTATTGCACAGATGAAGACAGAACATGGAAGTAGTTTTACATCTATGGAAATAAAGATAGTAAGAGACTCAACATCACACCCTATCTTAAGTAAATCACGGGCTCAAAAGTCAATCAAATAATCAAGGGCTTTCTTAAAGCAAGTAGAAGCCACAAGAGAGGGAAGTAACAATAAATTTCTACCGTATCCAAGATGCTCTGCAGCAGCTTTAAGTCTCATATAGCAGCTATAGATAAGGCTTTATCTGCTTGCAAACTAAAGCACTTAATAAAGTGATACAAAAATTTTACATGCCAACACACAATTCAGCTTCAATTTTTCAAATAATACAATTTTTCCAGCTAATATGTTGATACAGTGGTCTATTCCTAACTGCAAAAAAGGTGTTATGGCATCATAACACAAACTCTGAACTTTCATATTTGTATCATGTCACACACAAATATGGAAGGGACAGTATTTATGACTGCATATTTTGTCATTCCCCCCACTGGACCACAAATGAAAAAGAACTTGAAAAATGAAGTTAAGGGACTCACAAATGAAGTTAAGGGACTGACAAGATGATCAACACATTTCTGCTGTTGATCTTTCCTTTCTTCCAACAGTATTCCTAGCCATTTCTCTTTCTACAAATCAAAGAATTCCAAGCAGATAAATCAACATGTTGAGAGACAATGTTGATGTGTACTCAAGACTGAATCAGTTTAATATTTGTTTTGCACTTTTCAGTTTCACAACTTTTGCATTTTCTAATACAAAACAATAGTTGACATAACACAAAATACTGATTTTGAAAGTAATTTTTAAGAGACAGAAAACACAAATAAAGGAACTCTTGTTTTCAACCATTATTTCCATTTCAAGGATTCCTTCCCTTCTTTGATGCAATCAGTGTTCATTCTCACAGAAAGCAAGAACCTGTCTGATCCAGTACCAGAAAAATGAGATAGCTAATTAAATCCAAGAGGTCTTTTTTCCCTAGGTCTGTAATGAGTGACAGGCAAGACAGACATAGATAGGTAAAGTTTGTTTCTTAAGTATCATTAATGAGACTGTACACTCACCAGCAACTGACTGAACAAACCACATTCCTTATTCTGTTATTAAAGTATCTCAGCCTCCACTGGTTTAGATCTCCTTAGCTGAATCCAGAGTAAGACAATAGTTCATCCACAGATTTACATCCCACATGATGATTCAAACACATGCTACTTAACTGCACATACACAGCTGACCATATACATAATTACAGATTCTATTTGCTCAATAGCCTAGAGACTGCTGCATGCACATGGCTCTATAAACTTTTCACCTAAGCAAGCAAGTTTTGGCTCTGTACCACAGCTACTAGGCATTACAGGACAGGCTAGGCCAACTTCCATGCTCATACGTTACCCAAACACCTATTTAGTAAACCACCAACACTAACTAGATATTTTACTCTTGTATAAATTATTTTTTTTCCTAAAAACCCAACCTCCAAACATTAAGCTATTGAAGATTACAATTAGATGGATGCCATACTTGCACTCTATTTTAAGCACTAGAAGGAAAATTCCAAACAAAAAACACTGTGTATAGATTAAAGTGCAAACTGGGGTACAAATGCTAGACTTCAATCATTACAGGTGACATTACAAGAGAACTGATAATGGAAGAAGGAAACACAACTGCTTACTGTTTCAAGGAAACAATAACTGTATATCATTGAGGCTGAAAACCACAAAAGCAGTCACACTAAAATACTTTGATTTTAGTTCCAGTGACATCAAAAGGACAAAAGTAGATATAAATCAAAAGACTCTTGCTTGGAGGAGTTTTCAGATAAACTGGAAGCTGGAACTGTTAAGCACATTCAGATCTGAATATATCATACCAAAAGTAGAGATAAACAGCATCTCCCTTCCCCATTTTTCCTTCCATCCCTTTGTTTGAAAACCTTCCTTATGGGGTGGCACTCCTATTCCACTTTTGCCTCTGGAACATATTAGGTGTTACAAGAGCTGCTTGATGGGAAGACTATAAAGCAAAGATGTATACATATCCTAGGAATTCTTAGAAAATCTTTGCCTCTCAGTCAAGATTTTGTTGCAACACAAAAAACAAAATCAACAAAGAAACAGGAATGGAGTGCCAGTACAACTACACAAGAATTCATCAAAAAGCAAACACAAGGGAAACATTAGCATATGAAGCTATTCCTTTCTCAGCAAAAAAGTTATTTTCACATTTAAAATTTCCTGGCCACTTCCTTCCCTCCCACATTTTTAATCGATAAATTCATGATCACATTTAATGGGGATGTGCAACAGCATCAGAGAGATCAATCCATCACCATCTCCAGGACAGAACAGTTTTAAGAGATTAGGTTGAGTGTTGGTGCAATGCAATGGGCAACCCTCCTTCCTCTGTATACTCTCACTTTTTAGGTACAGAAAGAGAGAGAAAATCAGCATTGTCACAGTGAGGCCTATTGCCTAAGCAGTTTCTTGCCTTCCCAATGTTAGCCTGTGCTGCTTCATGACTTTCCCATCTTCATGATTCCCATTTTTTTCAGTTCTCCAAGGATAAAAATGCAACGACCATTCTAGTGTAAAAAAAAAAAAAAAGGGGGGGGGGAAGCCTAATCCTTTTCCCCCCTCTCCTCTTCTCCAGGGAATCAAAGCGATTTAAGTAAGCAAGGCAATGGATGTTAGGCTCAATCGTCCCAGGGAAAAGGGGCGGAGGAAAAAAATATATTTGCAAGGCGCTAAATGGCAGCCAGGCCCGAAGCACGTGCCCTTTCTGTGACACGAAAATGAGGGCTGCTCTTCCCACATCAGTCTGCAGAATTGAAAACGAGCAGGGACTCAGCGCTGGGCCAGGCGAGAAAGCGCACGAGGAACCGACCGGTTGTAGCACCAGCAGCACCGAGACGTGGAGCGGGGGGGGGGGGAGAAGGAGGAGGAGGAGGAAAGAGGGCCAGTATCAGATTAGCAAGAAAAGGGCGAGTGGGGACAGCATCTGCGCTGGCTGCACCAGGGCAGATGATGCGGTTAAGAAATCTGCCCGGCACTGGCTGCACCAAGTGACGGAAGGAAGGAAGGAAGGAATGTCCGGTGGCCGCTGCACCAGATCCTGTGGGTGGGTCGCAAGGAAATAAACAGCCGAGCGCTTTCCTTCAGCCAGGCAGCCAGCCTCATTTCTTGGAGCTCTGGGTCTTCTTGGGCAGCAGCACGGCCTGGATATTGGGCAGAACCCCACCCTGGGCGATAGTCACCCCACCCAGCAGCTTGTTGAGCTCCTCGTCGTTGCGGATGGCCAGCTGCAGGTGCCGTGGGATGATCCTGGTCTTTTTGTTGTCCCGCGCAGCGTTGCCGGCCAGTTCCAGGATTTCAGCCGAGAGATACTCCAGCACGGCAGCTAAATAAACAGGCGCTCCGGCGCCCACACGCTCCGCGTAGTTGCCTTTCCGCAGCAGCCGATGCACTCGCCCGACTGGGAACTGGAGGCCGGCTCGAGAGGAGCGAGACTTGGCTTTGGCTCTGGCTTTACCTCCGGATTTACCTCGGCCGGACATAACGAGACGAGGCTAGGCGCTCGGAGAGAGCGAGGCGCCGAGACCAGTTTGCAAAGCAGGCAGGCAGAAACGGCCTCGTCTGGATAACGGGAACAAATAACATCCGCGTAAGCAAAGCGGCGGAGGGGAGGGGGCGACTAGAGCGGCAGGATGCTGACGCCGAGCATTCCACACTCCTCCCGCCCGTGGCCTCAACCCGATCTAATGACAACCCGGTCCACGAGCTCCAATTAGCTCTCCTTGGGACACCCCCCCTCCCCTTACCGTTGGTTACTTCCACAAGGCCGTCGAATACCCGCAGCTGCAATGACAACAAGCGCGAGAAGCTGAAGGGTATAAATCCAAGCACATCCTCTCCCTAGTTTCCCATTGGCGGCTAAGAGAGTGGAGCTGCGCTTTTATTGGCGGCCTCTCCGATCCCTGATTTGCATGGTGTCCTCCATATTCGGTCTCGGCTGAGAACTAGGGCAGCAGCAGAGCTAAAGGACTTGGATGCGTGCAAAAGGGTTTAAGTATTAATAAAGGAGAATATTTGTAGCTCAGGGTTGATCTGAAGGGTCCTTGGTTCTCTCCGAGCTTGCTTGTTTTTTTTTTTGCCGACGTTTTATTACCCAAACTAGGTAACCTCATGCGGTTTGTTGTCAGTTTATATTCTAGTCTTCACTGTCAGCTTTGGTGGGGGTGGTCTCCGAGATTCTTTGATTGGGCTGTTTGCTTCTCTGGCAGTTTCTTGATTAAGGTATTGTTTACTTGATTGTTGATCTGATGTTAACCTTGGAGTTAATCTATGCTGATTGCTGGTGGAAAGGTGCTTGAGTCTTTTTGGGCTGAGTGAGTCTCTTTTGCATAGTCTATAGATGTTGTTAATGTCTATGTGTCTAGTGATAGCTGATTTGTCAGAATGTCAGGCTTCCAGAAATTCCCTGGTGTTTTTGGACTTGGGTTAATCTAGGATGGTCTCAATTGAAACTATGATTAAATCTGTATGTATATTATGAAATTAATGATGAAAATTCTTTAATTTCACAACATAGACAGATTTAACCACCTGGCTGACTGTGCAGCCAACCATAATAGTAATATAATATTTGCTCACATGCTGGATTGGGCATTGGGGATAATTAATGCATGATTTATTAACATGTTTGTCTATCATGTCCTACTATTACAAATTGTGAAGCATATTCAAGTATCTCTCCGCCCAACCTTCCTCACAAGATTGCTGTTAAGAAAAATAGGGAGCTCTATGTACATCACCTTGATCTCTTGAATGTTTGGAACTAATTAAAATAGCAAACTGCTATTCAAAATTGTTACTGGATGCTTCTTTATACTGAGCAGGTTGTACATATTTAAGTGAAGAGAAATTTTTGAATGTCAGTAAACTGGGCTATTAAAAAGCAGGGAGAAATCTAATCAGCTGCTCAGTAATGTATAGATTTTCCCCCCATGCAGCTATTTCAGCAACAACTATAGTCACTGTAAAATTTAATGTACAACTAATATTGAAGAGACTCTTCTTCCTACTCCCATAACTATAAATTTGCACACACATAATCAAATTACATAAAACTGTTGCAATAGTAATAATAGTAAAGTTGGAAGGGACCTTGGAGGTCATCTAGTCCAACCCCCTGCTCAGGCAGGAAACCCTATACCATTTTGGACAAATGGCTGTCCAGTCTCTTCTTAAAAACTTCCAGTGTTGGAGCATTTACTGCTTCTGGAGGCAGGGTGTTCCACTGATTAATTGTTCTCACTGTCAGGAGGTTTCTCCTTAGTTCTAGGTTGCTTCTCTCCTTGATTAGTTTCCACCCATTGCTTCTTGTCCTGCCTTCAAGTGCTTTGGAAAATAGCTTGATTCCCTCTTCTTTATGGCAGCCCCTGAGATATTGGAACACTGCTATCATGTCCCCCCTTGTCCTTCTCTTCGTTAAACTAGACATACCCAATTCTAGCAACCGTTCCTTATATGTTTTAGCCTCAGTCCCCTAATCATCTTTGTTGCTCTTCTCTGTACTCTTTCTAGAGTCTCAGCATCTTTTTTACATCATGATGACCAAAACTGGATGCAGTATTCCAACTGTGGCCTTACCAAGGCATTGTAAAGTGGTATTAATACTTCATGTGATCTTGATTCTATCCCTCTGTTAATGCAGCCTAGCACTGTGTTGGCCTTTTTGGCAGCTGCAGCACACTGCTGGCTCATATTTAAGTGATTGTCTACTAGGACTCCGAGGTCCCTCTCACAGTTACTACTATTGAGCATGGTGCCAACTATGCTGTACTTGTGCATTTGGTTTTTCTTGCCTAAATGTAGAACGTTGCTTTTTTCACCATTGAATTTCATTTTGTTAGTTAGTGCCCAGTGTTCAAGTCTGTCCAGATCCTTCTGTATCTTAAGCCTGTCTTCTGGAGTGTTGGCTATTCCTGCCAGCTTGGTGTCATCTGCAAATTTGATGAGTTCCCCATCTATCCCCTCATCCAAATCGTTGATGAAGAATCCCTTCATCCAAATCGTTGATGAATGGCCAAAAGGTTCACCTCAACCTTCAAAGGAGGTGTCCACAAGAGATCTCCATTCATGAAAACAGTTACGCCCATTTTTAGCTTGAGCTCTGGATGTTTTTGGAACTAATAACTATCATCCAAAAGCCATGGAAAAATTCCATCCCTCGATGACCTAAACTTCTTTCATTATCCAGTAAGGAGATCTTAATAAGCTGATTACAGGCAATACTCCTGTTTTCTTCAGTTCCAATAGTAGTCATTCTTAAATAATTGGAAAGGTAATCCTGCATCATTCCCAATTATAATACAAAAAGGGATATAGCACAAGGGATATCACAAACTACAGAATATTCAAAATGGTTACAACCTGAATTGGTACAAAAGTACAAACTCTTCAGAATTGGGAATACTTTCTGCACTGAATAATCAAATGTCCAGAATTCTGATTATATATATTAATGTACACTTTTATAAATACCAAAATAAGGGAGACTGTAAATTGTATTTCACTGTATTTATTAGGAATTGCAATATGCGTGCAAACAATGGGATAGCTAAATGCTTTTTTATTTCTAAAGCGGTTGTCAGAAGGTAAGAAATTAATAATGTCAAAAGAACTTTAACTCTGAACAAAATCTTTATTTATACTACCAGCATTGTCTATGTATTAAAACCTTTAAAAATATCCCAAATTTGCCTTATTTCTAGGGAACAATATTTCATGCATTTCAGAGAAACTTTGAATAATTGGAGCCCAACTATTTTTCTACATATCTAATAAAATGAATGATCATGTAACCAAGTATCTTTTTTTAAAAAAAAATTAAATGCTCTTCCCTCTCTCAAGCCCAGGATTTTGTGAAGAATATAGATCTGCATGAGTTTCAGCCCTGTTCAGGCTTTGTATACTCCAGCTTTCTGTGAGTGAAATAAGTTGATCTTATGCATAAAGGTGGATTTATCTTCTGAAATACCATTTTAACCACCCAGCTGTCCTTTGACAATAGTGGTCCTGATGTCTCTTAGGCTGAACCGCAACACTTTGCCTTGAGTCCAGAATGACTCATTGTAAACAGCTAACATTTTGTCTTTATCTCTTGTCCCTATAAAGCTTTAGTTTACAATCTTGTATTTTTTTTTACTAAATATCCAGTTATAATTAATACAGCCAACTAACACTGCTGCTACTTATCTTCACTCTCCCAAAAAACAAGATTAAAGTTCTTTCTCTCTTTCTTGCTATTCTCTTACCACTTACTCAAAATACTGGCTATAGTGATGGCCTGATCATCATTATAACTTTGACGAATTTATTAAACAATCCTACCAAAGGTTTGGAATGTGCAGTAAATCCAAAATAGTGAAACAAGATCCTTTTGGAATAGCTTCCCAACCTATAGGAATTTTATTTGTATATTGCTTGCAGATGACATTCTACTTCTTTCAAAACAGATAAAAAGGGCAAAAATTTGAGCTGGTTTCAGTATAAAGTAAATGATAATTCTCACTATGCAGCAACAACAAATCTCCAGCATTAACAGTGACCTATTTTTTTCCATAAAAGATGAAGCAATCCACAAAGTGAATTGAACAAACACTATGATGGTAACCATGACAAACCAAATCTCTGCTTGTGTCCTTGGAGGAGAAAAATAAATAACATTAAATCTTTCGCTTCTTACATATTTTGGAACGCTATTGCCTTTTCAAAATTGGCAAGGTTAAGTCAATGCTGCATCTATACCCTATTTGTTTCAGACAAAAGAAACTAAGTGTTAAATGTCAAAGCTCATCTACTCAGCATCAGGAAGGAAGCACATCTGAAGTCTTATAAACTATTTATAGATTATACCTGCATTATAATCTAAATCGGGAGACTTAAATAATGCAATAACTCAATACATAATACCCTATTTGGCTAAGCTTGGTAATAAGCAATATAACCAAATTTTTCACTGCTTTTTCAGTTGCTTTGCAGAAGGTTCTCCATCTTTTTTGAGCCACTGATGCATTAAGTCCATGCTAGTTTTTTTACACTGTGGTGTCTTGATGAACTTGCTGGACCACTTTGGTAAATTGTCTTCATCCTTGTCATCTTTCTTGGGGCCTTTATTTTTTAACCAGTTCAGCATTACTGTGCTGCTTGCATTAATCTTGGTATTCTGAAAGATACAAATTAAGAAAAATAAGATTTTTATGACTAGTTCATACAAAACCGTAGACTAATTTAAGGAATCTTGATATTACAATCTAGTAGTTTCATGGAGCATTCCAAGTTGATGAAATGAAAAATTATGACCACAACTGAGCCCAAAATTTCCATTGCTAAATGAGACAGTTGTTAAGTGGGCTTTGCCCCATTTTACGACCTTTCTTGCCACAGTTGTTAAATGAATCACTGCAGTGTTAGTAACACAATTGTACAGTGAATCTGGCTTCCCCATTGACATTGCTTGTCAGGTCACAAAAGGTGATCACATGACCCTGGGACACTGCAACCGTCGTAAATATGAGCCAGTTGCCAAACAGGCAAATTTTGATCACGTGACTATAGGGGAATGCTACAGTGGTCATAAATGTGAAAAACGGTCATAAGTCACTTTTTTCAGTGCCACTTTGAACAGGCCCTAAATGAATGGTTATATGTTGAGGGCTACCTATACTGAAAAGAAAAAAGGTTTCCAAGAAAACAAATTTATATCTGATGACGCAAATTTAGCATATCAAGATCACACACACCAAGTTATCCAGAAAACTTTGATGAAGACCTTAAAATAATATTTTTTTACCTTATGAACTGCTAAGCAGAATACAGATGCAGAAGATGTACACGCACTCCATCTTTGAATTTCATGCTCTCTAAGTCAATCAGTAACATCAATGCAACATTTTATTTTGTGAAGAGATGCTTAGCCTAAACAGGTGGCAGCACCTTAGTCAATCTCAGAAGCTAAGCAGGGTCAGTCATGCTTAGTATCTGGATAGGAGACTGCCATAAAATTACAGGGCTGAAAAATAGATTGGGAAGTTGAAACTATACCCTAGAAAAGGAAATGCAAACATACC